ATTGTTCTGACTATTCATATATCAGGCTTTACAGGGTTAGAGTACAAATACAAAGATATCAGTTTGATGGCTTTTTTTGGTAAATTCCTTTACATAATTATTTTATTGCAAGTTGTTAGAACTTCAAAATAACTAGTCAAGTAAATCCTTTCGGCATGATTTACTGGATTTAACCATCTTTTTCACAGTGTAGTCACACACAGTTACTCTCTCTCTCTCATTTTTAATGCGAATGGAGTTTCTGCATTAGTGCGGCACATCTGCACCCGCTTTCTTTGATTGACAGGTGTACATGGATGCCACATCAGCTGCCAATAGCTGGAGACAGTGATGTCACTATGGCTGGTCTCCCGGGAGACCCTGCTCTCTCGTTCTGTTTTCACACATGAAAGAAGCCATTTCAGGTGACAGGATATGGGGTGGGATAAAAGGAAAACATTTGGACTCCATGGCGCTCCGGGAAGCCTGAGGGTGCAGCTTTGATATCAAATGGATCCGCAGACATGATTAAACGCAGCAATCTGAAACCAGCACAATACTGGAGAACCAAAAATGTGGCACTGGACAGCTAGTCATTCTCTCATTCCTTGTTTGATTGAACACTCCTGTCCTTTTTACTTTCCGTTCAGTCATAAAAGAGTGTGGCGTAAAGGAATAGTTCACCCAAAAATGAAAATTCTGTAATTTTTCTCACCCTCATGTCATTCCAAAACCTGAATGGCTTCCTTCTGTAGAACACAAAAGCAGACATTTTGAATAATGCACTTGTCGCTCTTTTTTTTCTCTCTCCATGCAATGGAATGGGGAGCTTCAAAACAGACAAACAAGCACCATACAAGTATAAACAAAAGTGGTTCATATGACTTCCAAATCATATTGAGTCAGTGAGTCAAGTCTTCTGAGTCAGTGATTTGAATGTAAGAACTGAACCGGGGAGATTCTTGAACAAATTATTCAGACTAGTTCAGACTCAAAACAACGATTCATTCACCACTTCTCTCAGGAATGTGAAAATTAATTTTTACTTTTGGGTGAACTATTCCTTCAATTTAAATGACTAATAATTGATAAAAAAATAAATAAACATAATGTGTAGACAATAGACATATGTACATTTATAAAGCTACACTCAATAGGGTTTTATATAGAACCCATAGGGATCTTGACTCAATTTTAAAATGCCAAAACGTTTCTATATAAGGAAAAATGTGTTATAAAGTATGAGTTATAAAGTAACTCTCTAGATTCCTTGTGGATTGAAGTTTTTTTGGAGAGGTATTAGCTGCATAATTGAGTCTGTGAATACTTGTACTTGACGTATTCATTCATGTTAATTAACTTACAGCAAGTCATAAGGGAGTTGACTTATGAGGTAACAAAGAGATGTATTTAGCAGTGAGATCTACCCCAGGAACAAACAAAATCTCAGACGTATGTGTTTGTATGAGAGCATGTGTTGCTATGTTGCCTCCAGCACTGTGAGCTGAATTTTATCAGAGTGTCACCTGTGTGATTAGTAGAGAGCAAGAGAGACGGGAATATATTTAGAGAGAGAGTAAATCAAAGACTCCGTCAAGCATAATCATAATCCATGTCCTACCATACCCACTGAAGATGCAATGATATCGTAACATGGCCTGTAAGGTCATTGTCATGTGTCAATCTCTAATTTCCTTCACAGCGGATCTCTTCCTCTGTGCCTCTGGATGTCTTCATAATCCGAAGCAGACATGATATTAACCCTGCGCACAGAGATTCATATCTCTGGCGGTTTGTCGCCCTGAGGCTGAGTGGAATGACTGAAGTTATCAAACAACGCTGCCACCTCCTAAGGACCCCACCCGTCAAAACTCTGATCGCTTAGTAACAGCCTACCTATATATTCCACCATGCATACACATTAACGTGTGTTAGAAGAACCACCAGTGCATGGATAGTGAGATGATAAAACTATGCATTTTCAAGTTTAAGGAAGCTTAATAGAATTAACATGGTCTGTTGATGGAACAACGGACATCTTTTTAAAAGAATGGTTCAACAAAAAAAATGAAAAATCCTCATCATTGAGGTGAGTTCACAAGTAGAAGGAAAAGAAACTGAACACAAACCTAATTGGTTCTTGTGTGTGTTTAGAACAGGGTTTTTCAGAGGGTTGCAAGAATAAAATTGGCTTGCAAATTTGTATCGTTATTATTATTAATAATAAATAATGGTTCATAATAATAAAAAAAGAACATTCTAAAATCATATACTAATAATATATATTTCTTTACATTATTTAAAAAAAATAAAATACAAATAAAATAAATAATAATAATAATGAAAATGAAAATAAATAGAAAATTATGAAAAAAATAACCAAATATGAATACCACCATTTTATTCTACATACTAGAGTTGGGGTACTTGGACGCACTCGGGTGGACATGGACTCAAAAAGTAACAACATAAAATAAAGATGGCATATTATGGCATATAAGATATTAAACGTCTCCCACTGAAATTGAATAAGTACTTGGGCTCGACTTGACAAGATGGACTTGGACCCAACACTACTAGATACTGTTTGGAAATCATGAGATTAATCACATTTCTTTTATTCAATGGACATGTATAGTTTTATTTATACCTCTGGGTTTTCAACATGGTGGTTAGAAATAATAAAAAAGAAAAAGTTTTTTTAGACATGAAAATATATAGCTGCTCATATTTGGGGTCGAAAAAGTTTGAAAAGAAGACTTGAAATATAGTACACAAGTCATATAATTCACAAAATAATTAATTTTGTACTCCCAAAAACCAGATTTGAAGTGCCATGAGCATGATTAAATGATGACAGCATTTTCATTATTTTGGTGATCTATCCCTTTAACATGTTCTTGAAATGTTCATAGATTGCATGAACAGCATGACCAACATCTTAAAAGGGGATTAGGCCCCAAAAAGTGTCTAATTTCCCTGGACACGACATCTCAATAATCCAGGCCTCTCCAGCCAGACGAGCCACATGTACAGTTGTACAGAGAGTAGCACAGAGCTGTATGGATTGATTTAGAGCAGTAGTGCATAGAGCTGCAGACAGAAATATAGGTTTAGAGGAGCGGTATAGAGTGATATACAGACCATTTTTGATTGGTGTTCCGTGGCACAGAAAGATGTAAAGCAGTGAGGAGCGGCGTGGAGTTGTTTAGAGCAGCGTAGGGCAGTGTAGATCAGTGTAGTTTAGCACGGCTCCCTTCTCCCACTATCTGGAGCAGAGCGACAGACTGCCGGGCCCATGGGGCAGATTCTCTGGCATTCATCCACACTGTGAGCCTGCTGGAGGAAAGAAAATGGAGCTCTTTGGTAAAACAGAAACCCCCCTTTTTATTTATTTTTTTGCTGCTATCTCCTTTTTCGCAAATGCATGTGCAATTATTTTCCTGTTCTTCTCTTTGCATAGTAATAGGACCGATAGATCTCCCTCATTGGAGGAATTTCCAAAATCAATTTTCTCTAATTATCATCCCTACCTTTTTGCTTTCTCCTTTTATCTCGCTTAACATCCCCTCTCTACTGTGCATTTATTCTCGTTATCTGATCCTTCCTGTCTCAAATGTGTCTCTTTCTCGTTTAGCTCTCTGTTAAATTGTTTAAACCTTTACCACAGCCTTTAAAAAACTCATCTCTGTTCATGGGCATGTTAACGCTCCTCAGCACATCTCTACGATGGCTATGACCACTGACTGGGGTGGAAGTAATGTTTTTTTTTTTTTGCAGCTAAAATCAGAAGCAGATGGATTCAGGATGGCTCAAATTAGCCTCTCTCTCGTGTTCTGCTGTTGCTAAGTAACAGTTGACAGACAGGGGGTGACAGGCCAGTGATGGCAGCGTTTGATGGCAATATGTCTTTGGCTCAATGGCTCCGAGCTAACATTGAAACAGTGCCTCATTTAAATCAGAAGGAGAGTGTGTGTGAGAGAGAGAGATTTTTGTAAGAGTCTGTGAGCAAGCAGATGAGCCAAACCTACCACACACATAGCCAAAATTTGTCACTCATGTCATATGTGAGAATACAATCATGTTGCCATACGGACATCTGTTGTGTGCCAATGAAATATGTTGTTTTAAGGGCATTAACCAATCAGAATCTTGCCTTTCCCCAGCATAAGATCACAGATTTGACTGTATTTTAAAACTGTCAGTCACACAGACCATCAGAAAAAACAAAAGGGATGGAAAACTAAAGAGAGCGAAGAGGCCATTTTTTATAAACTATTATGTATCATGTTTTTATTGGTAAAATTGGTTTATGTCGGCATAAAAAGGAAGTTGCAATAGTCTTTTCTTCTCTATTTGTGATGTATATCCGAGTGAAAAGGCTTCTCGGTTTTAGGATTTTCCATGTAAACTGCAAAGAACTACACTGGTTTTCTGATTTGTCACTCATGTAAACCTGCATCATTGTGGTAGTTGTTGTAGTCTTTATGTAGAAACTTGTTAGCAAAAGCTCAACAGTTTTAAAATTCACGTTTGCGGCAAGTCTTTGTGTACTTTATGTTTTAAGACAAGTCTGTGAGTAGCCTACCTTATATTTTACTGTATACTTTTGTTAGCCACTGTGTGTGCAGCTCAATGATTTCAATAAACGTTTTTACTTGACATGGTACACATTGCACTTTTCTCCGAAACTATAGATGGCAGTGCAGACAGAGACAATATCGGCTGAAACAGCAATAACCGCAGTAAATTGTCAGAGTCACAAAAACATAGACATAATAAATACATGTCTATGGTCACAAATGTCACAGCGTAGGTCAAATCTTGCTGCTTTAATATAATTTGTTGTCTGTTTCAAGTAGACTCACCTGCTCAGTCGACCTTTCTTAACGTTCGTTCAAATGGGATTGTTTAGCGACACTTCGCCAAGCAATGCGTCAGGTGTGCAATGACGTTTTGTTTTGGCGCGCGGAGCCACGCGCGAGCGAATCAAGTCCAAACGAAAACGAGAGGAGCCAGTGAGTGAGTTGGAAATATCACAACAACGGGTCGGAAGCTGTGATGAGCAGAAATAGCAGGAACCTACTCAGGTGAACTTCATTTCTCAAACAAAGTTGCTGGAGTTTGACAGTAGCCTATCTCTGTCTGGCTCTACTTTACATTTTTACAGTTTACATTTGAAAAAGTATCTTGACACTTTACGTTTCAAACTATGTTGAATTTTTTTTTATAGTGTTCCTTCATTGTCCCATCATGACATCTAGAGCAAAGCCAAAACAATTAACTGTTAATTCATGTATGTATATAATTTCATTAATTTAAACAACTAGAAATGTTAAAAATATAACGGTAGGCCTATATAGAATAAGTGATTAACCTCGGCTATATATTAGGGGTGTAACAATTATATCGTGTCACAATATATCGCAAATTCGCAATACAAAAATGCAATAATATGTATAGTGAATGGTTCACCCAAAATAAAAATTACTGTGTGAGAATTTTTTTAGTGTCAGAACTACATAATGTTGAATATAATGTATAATTATGCAATGGGGGAATATTTATGGCTCCTGATAATGCCAAATGTCATATGTTACCAGTAAAAAGTGGCCTACATTTTGGCATTGACAGAGTGCAAGCATATTCGTCTAAAATAATTCTGTATTTTCAACTTCAGAATCATGAATATTTTTATTCTGGTGTCTCTATTGTCCTGTGCATTGGGTTACCAGCACTAAGTCCAAGCCTATTCATTTACACCCACAATGTAATACCAAAATTATTTTCATTTTAATCAACAGTCTTTTTTTTTTTACCTTTTACCAAATGTCTTGGAGTATGGCAATAATATCGTATCGTGCGTTCAGTATCGTGGTATCGAATCGTGACATGAGGGTATCGTTACACCCCTAAATATATATATGTTATAAAAGTGTCCGTTAATTTTGAATTAAACTTACAGTAAAGTGTTAGCAAGATTCTTCAAAAGATTTTTAGTTTTGCCTTGCACAGAATAATAACGGTAAGCAGGTTAAGAACAAAATGAGCATAAATAATACAGAAGAGTCAATTATAACAGCATTGTCATTTTGGGGTGAACGACTCCTTTAACCCCCAAAATTCCACATTTTCCTTGTGGAGTTTTTTCCCCTTCATTTTCAAGACTTTTAAATAATAAATTGAATGAGCAACTGCAATCATACAGTATGTTCCTTCATTTTATTTTTTTATTTTACTTTGATGTACAATGCAATGTTTATTAAATTCTGTACTAGAATGTGTCATTCTATAGCAATATAAAAAAGAGAGAGAGAATAAGAAAGAAGCTCGGGCACAGTATTAGCTAGAGAAGGTTTATTATTCTCTGCAGCACTCAATCAAACATTGGCCCTATGAACAGAGAGTAATGCTAGAGAATCAACCTCAGGGCTTCTGTCTGTCTCTCTCTCTGTCTCTCTCTCTCTCTTTTATTCCTTACAGTGTGTGAGTGGTATCCATCTGTCAACTGTCAGTGCCAGTGAGAGATATCCAGAGCTGTCACATCTTGTCAGCTCTCTGAGCTGACGCCTTTTGCAGCTGCCTGGCCAACACACACATACACACATACACACACACACACACACACACACACACACACACACACACACACACACACACACACACACACACACACACACACACACACACAGTGTCCCTGATGATGGCCAGCATGCAGCCGCACTAAATGGGGAAATAATGTGGCTGAAAGAAAGAAAGCAGATAAAAGCCGTATAAAAAAAATCGTGGGCCGGAAGAGGGATGGAGGGATGGCAGGAGCAGACAGATTGTACAGAGGGATGATGAGTCAGATCCAGGCTGTAGAACTCTGTGGATGGGAGACTGAGTTGGAGAACCATCAAAGTGCTGTGAACGGGGGTTAGGCGAGGGGCAGCGGGCATACGGGCAGCGTGAAGAGGATTAACACAGAGAAAAGCTCAGAGATGGCTGTTTCAATGGCCACAAGATGAAAGGGGCAGAGTAGATATATGACAAATATATAGCGTGCCCCTCTTCGGCACGCATTGTACGTCCGTTTCTCCTTCAGTCTGCAGATTAATGCTCTTGATAGAGTTTTTAAGACTCGCGTGACTTTGGCGTTAGTTTGAATGGCTGTTAAACGGCTTGATGTAGCTATTTGGCTCTTGTCCCAGCTCTTAAAATTATCTCCTTCTCCCTGTCTCCTTTCCATCATTAGTTCAGAATCAGATCTTTGCAAGATCTGAATAAATAAAACCAAGATGGCTTCAGCTCCATCACTATCGTTCCTCAATCCTCAGCGTGTTAAAAAATCTAAAGAATCTAAAGAGGAGGGAAGGATCATTTCGAATTTTGGAAAAAGGCCAGCTCAGTGTTGAGAGATCAGAGCAGGACATTCCCATCTGACTTCCTGTCTTGATTTCACTCCACAGGAAGCAAGAAGTCAGGTGTGGCCAGGGGAAACAAAGATACAGCTTATGTTTAAGACGTCCATCTCTGGGGCCCAGATTTGAAGGATTAGTTCATCCAAAAATGTACATCCTGACATGATTTGCTCACCCTTGTGTTGGACTAAACAAGTATGCTCTCATTTTGTAAAGTAGAAAGTTGCTTGTGTCTAGATTCTTTAAGTATAATGACATGAGATTAGTATGCTCATTTTTGTGAGTGTATACTATCCATTTACAAGGGGAAAACTAAAGACATATGGTCAAGTGTTTAAATGAAGCATTCATTTTCTCTGGCTGACACAATATAATGATGAGAAGTACTGTGCATAAAATGAGCGGGTGTGAAAAAGAGAGATAATTAAAGATTGATTGAGAGATGATGTTGATGTACATGTGAGTTTTGTGGCACTTGACAGTTTCCGCATTTGCATCTGCGACCTCAGCAAAAATGATCTTTACCACTCAGACAGAGTAGGTGTGTGTATGCGTGTGTCTTACAATGCCTGATGTGTGGTTGGTTGTATTTGATATTAAGGAGTTATTTATTTCTAGCCTGGCTCCGCCCTCCTACGTACTTCCGCTCAATTTTCATTTTCCTTCAGTACTACGTCTGGGATTGTGGTGCAGGGATGGAAATTAGCACCCGCCACCAGCCAAATGCGGGTGATTTTGGGTTGTGGCGGGTAAACTCGCTTCACCTACCGGCCACCGTGGCGGGTAAATAAAAATAGCATACCGTTTCACCCAGACGGCGGACACTTTTAGAGGAGGCACACCTTCAAAAAAAAAGTGGCGTTACATCGCAGGCGTAGAGGTCTGCAGAGAAAACATCATGGTGCGTTCACACCAGACGCGAATAGAGCGTCTGGCGCGAGTGATTTCAATGTTAAGTCAATACAAAGACGCGTTACGCGCATAAAAAAATCCTGCGGCGCGTCAAGTTCGAGCGTCTGGTTCTAATGCACAACAAAGCAAATATTTTGTCACATAAAACTTAATTTCAATATATGAGACATATTCATTTTGTATTGAATGCTATTTATTCCATTTCATATCTAGATTATATGAAATATTATTCTAATGTAAAGGCAACCAACATACTATAGTGCATAAGTTCGTGTCTGGATAGTGTTGTGTGAGAGGGAGAAAAAAAATCACAGGACAGGTTAATAACTTTTGGAGGCTGGCTCAATTTATCATCAAAACAAAAATATTAGGTGGATGAGGCCGAGGGTGAGAGAAAGAGAAAATGTCAGTATTTCCTTTAGACTTGAGATTAAATAAACTGCTTAAGTTACACATTGTCGGTTAAAAACAAGAAAGTGGCTGGTAAAAACATTGAGTGGCTGGTAGATTTTGAAATCCACCAGCCACAGTGGCCGGTGGACAAAAAAGATAATTTCCATCCCTGTTGTGGTGTATTTTTTGGTTTTCTCCGGTCAATTTTTTACTGGTCGAATCAGCGAACAGAGGGAGTGGCTGAGAACGATGACGTTGATGTTGTGCGCTAGTTTGAGTGGTTTGAGCATAGAGGGGTTTTTGAGTCGTCATACGTCACGACCAAACGTCAGCGATTGGTTATGGCAGATCCAGAGTGACTCTGGGCAGATCCAATAGTTTTAAACTTCAACAGAGTACCCGCCTACAAGGAAGTTAACGCTTGTCAATGGAGCGAGGCCAGACTCTCTGTACAAATTAAATGTACGAGAGTCTGGTGGGACCAGGCTATTTTATTTCACCCTAAAATGAACCACATTTACCCAGATATTTACTCAAGTATCAAATGGCTTGGGAATATGTAGTGTTGGGGAAAGTTACTTTTAAAAGTAATGCGTTACTTACAATATTGTATTAAAAAAGGTTACTAATTGATACTTAGCAGGGCTCTAGAGTGCGACCAATTTGGTCGCATATGCGACTAAAATTTGTAAGGGTGCGACTAAATTTTTTCCAAGGTCGCACCGGTGCACCTAACGTCCTCGCGTCCGCTGCCAAGTTTCCACGAGCGAAGCGCTTGTTCTCCTTTGTCGGAACTCACAGCACACTCATGGTTGGATCATATCGTGGTCTAAACCAATCAGAGACAGAGATAGGGCGGGATAGTTACGGCAATCAGCATCAGCAAAAGAAACGCAAGAAAACAGACGACGAACAATGAAAAGAAATAGACCCATAGAGTTTTTTCTTTTAGAAAAGTAGGCCTGTTTCCCCCAACACTCTGCCCGGTACGGATGGGTACCGAAACCCGGTATTCAACTTCTGAAAGACCGCTGTATCGATCAGCTCGGACGTGATCGGTTCTGATGTCGGTAACTTACTGGAGAAATTAAGAAAATACACATACTATTTATTATTACTATAAAGACGTTATTTAAAAAAAGAATTAATCTTGCGAGCCTTTTCTGTGTATAATAATATTACACCATTTTTGCTATTCGCAGTCCAAGAGAGAGAGAGAGAGAGAGAGAGAGAGAGAGAGAGAGAGAGAGAGAGAGAGAGAGAGAGAGAGAGAGAGAGAGAGAGTGAGATCTCTCACGCGGAGCCACAGCGCGCAAAACACGACAGCTCTGCTTAATGAGTGACGACGCAGAACTAAACATTCAAACGTAGCCTGGTTACACTTTAGGTCTGTGATATTAGTCTTATTTTGTTTTAGATTTCGGCTTCCAAAGATTATAAAAAAATATATTGAGGTAAAACCATTAAAAACTAAAGACACATTCGGTCTGGCTCAGCTTCCTTCCATTCGCAGCAGTGCGCAGTCACTTCTCCCTAAAACTCAAACTTAACGACAGAATCAGCTCGTGATTGTTGTAAAATGCAGTCCAGCTACTGTTGCTAAATTGCGGGACGCGTTTAATAATAAAAAGAGCTATTAAAAGCACAAAAGTCTGCACAAGAGATGCTGTTCCCAAGGCGACGCGCGCTCTAAAAACAGAACGTAACGAGACAAGCAAATTATACTTTGGGTTTCATGTGCGTGTCTAAACTATCAAATGTACACAAAAATATGTCAAAATGACCGGCTTGTATTCACAGCTCTTGAATTAATAACTTCAGCTTTAATAAGCATTATCTATCTATGATAAAATATGCAGTGTTATTTTACATTTGATTACTTTATTAGATTTCTTTTTAGACCATACTTGAACAGTAGCTAATGTTAGTAGACCTTCCTGAAATTAAAGCACTGTGTAGGCCTATATAATGTGCATCTTTGTTTAATTGTTTATCTTTGTTTATAAAACAAAAAGAACCGATAAGAATACTGTTAAAGTACCGGATCGCTAAGGAGTATCGGTAAGAGTAGTAATACCGTTAAAACCTTATGGATACCCATCCCTACTCCCCGGTCAATGCTCCGACCACAGCCCAGACATGGAGCTACTTCAGTCACCCGTCTCCCCAGTCCCTGTAAGATGCCAAGCCCTGGTCCTTCCTCGGTGAGCCTACCGAGCCTGAGCTAGAGACTCAAAATAGTTAGTTTGGCAGCTCAGTGAAGCACAAAATTTTTTTTTTGTATACAATATAATTGTGCTTCAAATTAAAAAAAGTATTTACCTACACCTTATTCTTGTTTAAAATCATTTACATAATATATATGCATGTATATGGAGCATGATAAAAAGCTGAGCTTGAAATTGTGGCGTTAAAGGCGACGCGAGCCGAGGAAACATTTGGGTGCACCTAAATTTTGTGCTGGTGCACCTAAATAAAAAAGTTAGGCGCACCAGTGCAACCAAGGCAAAAAGTTAGTCTGGAGCCCTGCTTAGATAAAGTGTTGTTATATACTTTTGTGTTACTTTTTCTCTTCTGGGCTCGGCTTGCTTGTTTTTTTTTTTTAATGACAAAACAAAACAAAAGGTCTATTTTTGCCAAATGTAACCCCAAAAGTGAAATTAGACTGAAGGAAATGCAAATTCAAATGCAAACACAAACAAACTTTTTAGCAATGCGGCCATAAGAAAGAACACTTTTAATTTAGCAATTAAAAAACAAAAACAAATGTGATGTTTAACTAAAGTCATTTTTGTTTATTAGTACGGTTGAATTGGATCATGGAAGGTCAGCAGCAAAGACTTTGCTTAATAAAGTGAGATTAAATACATAAGTAAATTTGTGTTATTTAACACATTTATATAATAATTATCATGAGATTTCATTTAACTGGTTTTATGTATTTTGAGGAATACTGAATCTGTTTTTGTGCAAGTGAGATGAGTAAATGCCTGCTAACATTTAGTCTAGAACTATAATAAGCATAATGTTTATACAGCTCACATAACGCGTCTGCATTTACTCCCGATTTCTCTCAACATGGGGGACAGGAGAGGTGTGTGGGACAACAGGAAAAAGTAGATAATTAGTTTTAAATTTAAAAGTAATTTTACTTTACTATTACTTAAAGTAATCTGATTACAAAACTTGCGTTACTTGAAATGCTTTACCGTCAACACTGAACACATACGTCACAATAGAGAAGAAAAGACTCGCAAGGTTTAACAATGATAATATTATTTAAATTTTTTGAGTGAACTATCCCTTTAAGGTTTCTGAAGATTTAACATGATGTTTTGTAAGAGTTAGAAAGTCTACGAGAAAGTAGTATAGATGTTGTTTGTGTGGTTTTTACGTGGAATAATGTGTGATTGTGCACATTTCCTTACAGGTTCACACACGCACCAGGAGGGATCTGAAGCCCACGCGACACAGACACCTCAACCGAATGTAAAACAAACACACTCGATTTCACTCTTCAAAAAGATGTTCTCCACCTTCAAAGCCTTACGACGAAAGCAGAGCGGAGCGCTCCAAAACACAGGCAACAAACAACTCGTTTATACATTCTCCTAATTCCTCTCCGACGGGCCTCAATGTCTTTCTTCAGCAACAGACTGTTGGGGATCACGGCTTCAACGTTGCGGTTTTAAGACTCCGCCGTCTCCCCTCCCCGCTCCTCCGCTATCTCTGTGATAAACGCCGGAGCAAATTCAAAGCCAAACAAACACGGATTCAAAGAAAGATTTTCGTGGCAACTTAAGGAAAGCGTGCGTTCCTGACAACGTGTCGCCGGGGAGTTTGTTCAGTCGGTGCTCGCTCAGATAGACCCTGGCTGTTCATCCTGAGCAGGGAAGTGCATTTGCTTGATTATCATTAAAAAAAGAGAGATGATGTCTTCAGAAGTCAGCGGGGATATTTATCAGACTCGCAGTTGGAGACGTGATGGCGTGTCTCTTCTAATAGAACAGCCTCAAGGCTCTGGGCCTGTGTGCGCAGGTTATGATCCCATGAGAAGTGAATAAGTAAAGCGCTGACTGATCACATGTATTTACTTCATGCTTGCCTTTTGTCCTGTAATGAATATCAATGAATGAAAAGGCAAATGCGGATGAATAACTTATGCTATTAGATGGCATACTTATTCAAATGAACATTACCGCAGCATAAAGTAGTGTAGACTATATGACACAACAGATTAAGGCTTTTACCATTATAAACTGGTTCATACTAAAATAAAAACTAAATTCATAATAAATTAATACGGATCTCCTTCAACAAGCTGAAGAAAAATAAAAGCTGGTCTTAACTAGTTTAAACTGGCCTTCTCTTAAACTAGCCAACAGACCAGGCTGGTTTAAATAGTTTGTTGTTGAAACGTTGTTCATTTTACTTTTGTTGTATGACAGCCTATTTATGAGTAAAAATCATATTCACTGAGAACAAATGGAGGCAGGATATTTAATCTATCTGGAATTTGTGACGTAAGCTTAGAAGGAAAGGCATTTCATCAAATTGTTACATTTTGATCAAATTGTTTGCCTTTGAAACGTGCAATTTTAAAAAACACTGTACACTGTAAAAAAAAAAAACTATATGATCAGTAAGTTATGACAACATGTTTTTTCATTGCAAAGAAATTTTAAACTTTTTTTCAAGTTCAACGTTTTTTACTTATTTTTTAAGTCAGTTTAATGCAATTAAAGTTGAAGTGACTTAAACATCCAAGTTGATAGTACTTAAAAATTTAAGGCAGCAACTTTTTTATTTACAGAAAGTGTGCCAATAAATCATACACAACAAGGCCAGGAATGTAGATTAAGAAAAAACCATGGTAGATTTTCTTAACCATGGTAAAGGGTTTGTTTGAGGCTAAATTTAAGATCACACTTTTTGTGAATGAGAAATGAATTTATAATGATGTTATCAAAGTTAGCAAGATTTACAACGATTCCCTTTTTATTACGACGTGCATTCTCTTGCAGACTAGACTGTGAAAGCACCATAAATCACTCTATTTTTATAGGTATATATATTTTTTATTTTTTTTCCAAGACATACTTTTACTACTGCTTGCTCAAACTTCACACAAAACAAAAGGAAAAACAACATGACCTGTTATCAGTTGTTATTCAAAATCCCATACCTGTCTAAAAGCAAATGTTCAGACAAGAAAGAGAAGCTCACAAAGACGGAGAGGAGGGAGCGCCGCAGGAAAGTTCCACATGCAATCTTTTTTGTTTGTTTGCGAGTGTAAACGCAGTTGTGATGAAATATTGATGCTCCCTTCCAAACTGTCTTGTAAGTCGTCTCCGTTCTTTCAGGCTTTCCATCTGTAGCACCTGAGGAAGAGGACGGGAACGCCGGGCTGTCAGGAGAGATGAGCTCAAGCTCTTTGCGGCAGGCTGTCAAATGCGACACATCCTCTTCAAGAGCAGACACAAGAGCAAACTTCCGCTACTCCTCCATCGTTGTCTCTTTCTCTATCTGTGTCGCTGTTCCTCTATCTCTATCTTTCTTTTTCTCACTGTTCTTCTCTTTTTTCACCCCTATACTGTTGGACAGTAGGTAAGACTCATGTTTGATGACCTATGGAAAACCTAGGACTCACCAAAAACAATTCACTTTCTTGCTCATTAGGGCACAAGGGATCTAAAAGGTGATTTCTGCCATACTGTTTTAGACAAATAGCTTTTACCTGCTATAATCATGCTACTTCATTTTTAGTGATTTTTTTGAAGCCATTTAAAATTGAATGTTAAAAATGTGAATGTGCATGAAGCTACATTTGATACAGCTGAGTCTTCAGGATATCCCCTTTTGTGTTTTGGAACAATTATGAGTAAATTATGACAATTTTAAATGTTTGGTCTTTCCCTTTAAAGTCGGCATGACACGGAAGTTGAGATTGTCATTTTTTCCTTGTTGTGACGTATATCCGAATGAAACGGCTTTTGAAATTAGAAAAAAATCTAGGGCGGGGCTTGATTTCATCCTTCGGGAATTGATTGGATCGTTGGAGGTTGGGCGCAAGGGGGTAATCCATCGACCGGAAGTTAAAGCCGGCCGGGTGCCGCCATGTTGAAGCAGAACTTCACTTGCGTTAGCATTTCCATTGACTCCCATTCATTTTGGCGTCACTTTGACAGCGAATAACTTTACATATGAGGGGTTTAAAGGCTCCATTTGTCCATTATTTATTTCTAAAGAAACACGACAATGTATAAAGGGCTCCATTACCTTCTATGTTACATTATGGCCCTGTAGAAACAGATTTTGTAAAAATAGGCTAACGATTGCGTCATAACCACTCGACTCTCTGTCGCGCTGTACAGAAATTACCGTACAGACAGCAGGAGAAGCTCGCAGGCAATCGGGGGGACGTCCCGTCAAGGGAGAAGCACATTTTAAAATAAATACTATACAAATTATTAATTAATCAGAATACTTACTCCTGCTCACTCACGCCAAAGAACTCTTTGCTCAAGTTCCCCGTCTCTGCAAGATTAACGTTGGCAATTTTCACGCACAGCTACTAGAAGATTAACGTCTGTCAGACAGGTTGCTCACGTCATCAAGCTTAGTTTGAGTCGGTTTGAGTCTGCGCGTCAGGAACGGAAGTGCTCAAAAATCGCTAAAAATGGGCTTCAACTGTCTCAACTGAGTTCCAATGAGATGGCTCTGTCCACTTCTTATACTGTCTATGGTTGGGCGTTGCAAACAAAATGGAGGCAGATTTGAATGTATCTTCTCTGAGAGGCGGTGCACCGATAGCCGCACCCTCATCGGCTCTGGCCGCACCCTTTCGCCATTGCACGTGACCGAAAGAGAAGAGAGGTCGTTTCGAGGGGGGAGGGAAGGGTAATGTATTTGATTAAAGATTATAAGGGTACATGAATTTTTAAAAAATAATGAAGTGCACAGATAAATCATTTATAATAAACACTACAATATTACATATAAAAATAAGATTTGTCAAATTTGATTTCATGCCGACTTTAAATTATAGGAAAAAATGTTATATTGCAATATGAACAGATTCAAATATATATTAATTACAAACAGACATGGAACAGAAATGAAAAAATCTCTCCTGACATCTCTCTATTTTCTTTGTGCTCTCCACTGTATTACTGCCGACTATCATTTGCAAAGTGTTGTTTGGCATTTGTGTTTTTCTCTATTGGCTTTGCATGCTTGGCTAGCTGCGCTTGAACCTCTCAGCAGAAGAGACCTAGGCCTTTTTTAATAAGGTCCCTCATGAGAAATCTTCCTCATCTGAGCAGGAGCATGTCTAGAGGGCAGTTAAAGAAGAGAAATAGAAGAGGTAACAAATAAAAAGATGAGGAGATATAGACAGAAAGGAGGAGAGACTGATGAGGGAAGGGGAAGAACGTGATGCGTGATTGAGTTTGTGCATTTTGCCTCTCTGAGAGGTGAGAGCTGCTCTATCAGGGGACAGGAAAAAGCATTCAGAGTGTGACATGTTTGTCACGGTGGGCGACATTGGCATCTGTCACGCAACCTTTGGCAACGCTTGCAATAACGGAGAGTTCCAGAGAGTATGAGACAAAAAGAGACTTTGAAAATGAGAGAGATTTCAGAGGTGTGTTCCAGTCGTAGTGCTCGAGCTCAAGGGCTGCAGTGTTCACAGCAGCCTGTCCTGTCTGGATAAATCCACGCGTAAAGGCCTGAAGTTTGAAAATTAATAAACATAAGAGTAAAAAGAGATTTCCTTGTTTTTGCATGAGCAATTCTATGGTATTCACATTTGGCACTTTGTGTTCTTGAATAGGACAAAAGAATCAAAATGATCTTCCAAATTCATGGAGAGGGGGAGGAGGGCTCCCATCAGGAGGGAGGCATGGAGCGCTGGTCAGTATATCAGGGAGTTTTAATTAACAGCTCAGTGATGAGGATTGAAACAGCCCTCATGCCGTTTACCACTCTACGGGACCGGATCAAACCAAACTGCACCGCAGAGTGGGGGGGATTGGTAAGTCTGAGAGTATTAGAGCATTCAGAAAGTACCATTATGTAACTGAACATATTGGATATAATCATAAGACATTGTCAAGGTCTGTTATATAAATAATATATTATTATTATTATGATTATTATTACTCAGTATTATTATTAATCAGTATAAACAACTAAAACTACAACTACAATGTAACCATTAATAAGAAATGATAACGATAAATATTATGATTCAAAATTTGTATAAAAACAACTAAAATACAAATATAGTGTAACCATATTATTATTCATAATCGGTATTAACAACTAAATCTACAACTATAGTGTAATCATAAAAAAGTAACTATATATATATATATATATATATATATATATTATATATTATTAATAATAAACCTAGTTGTAGTTTATTTTGTTGTTATTCATAAAATCAAACTATAAATAACTAAAAACTACAACTAATGCAAGTTAGTAAATAATTAATACATTAATAAGTAATATTAAGTAGATTAATAATGAATAAATAATAATAATAATATGACTAGTTGTAGACTAATAGTTTTATTTGTTGTTATTATTATGTATAATAGTCATAGTATAAACAACTAAAACTACAAAAGTGTAACCCGAAATAATGATATTAATATTAATAAATATTAAAAATGACTATAGTTGTAGTTTTATTGGTATATTATTATTATTATTTTGTTATTGTTATAAAGGAAAGATAAAAATGTAAAATTAACTTTAAAATGTCTTATACCTGACTGATTAAGCATGTTTGCTCTAAATCTTTCTTGAAGTAATAGTAATTCACATTGTATTACACTGTTAATGCTGTTCTGTGTCTAGTCATCCTAAATGGTTTAAAAAGTAAATAATGCCAGCTCCCTTGACATGCCACCTCTCTCTCTCTCTCTCTCTCTCTCTCTCTCTCTCTCTCTCTCTCTCTCTCTCTCTCTCTCTCTCTCTCTCTCTCTCTCTCTCTCTCTCTCTCTCTCTCTCTCTCTCTCTCTCTCTCTCTCTCTGATGAACAGCTCAACTCAGCCATCTATAAAAGACTGGCACTGAAATCAGCTGCATTTGCATACGGTAATTATTCTGCGAATCAGGCTACCTTTATTACTACCACAGAAATCTACTGTCAGCAGACACGCATACATCACTGCACCGGGGACATACAGTACGTATATATCTACATTACTGCACGGTCCAGAAGAGAAGGATGGAGGCGACACATACATATACACATACTTGTAGTACATTGTGTTGTAAAACATGTGTTTGTTTATTTATTGGGATATTTGTAGTGCCAGTGGATTTATTGAATTCCTAAATATAATCTTCAGATAGCTGGTTAGCTGTCATTAAGAAGATGTTTTCTTATCTAAAGCTGTACTTGTGTGCTTGCTGCTACACCTATTAAGCAATAAGATTCGAGAGGCTGTGCAAATGGCCTGCAACCCATTCAGCCATTAAATATATATTTACAATATAGCACAGCCGGGTGTCGTATTGCTTTTATAAAACTTTTACTAGAATTTAAAAATATTAAGAACACAAATTTTACTAAAGTATTCTGCTAGAATACTCTGCTACCTTATATAATTCACACCAGTGTAATGATGTTGTGTGTTCAATATATCACACACGTGCACATACATAAAAGAATATGTAGTTTGCAGTCATTGTCACTAATGGTGTTTGCTGTGTGTGCCCTGGAGACGGTCTGATCATTTACTGACAACATCATTATCCAGAGCTTATTGATCCCGTCATACTGCTGGGAACAATGGCACACACACACACACACACACACACACACACACACACACACACACACACACACACACACACACACACACACACACACACACACACACACACACACACGCGCACGCACGCACACACACACACACACACAGTCACTGCCTTGCTTTAATTAATAATTAAAGTGACACTGTTCATTTCAGAAATTGTCAGTAAACATCTTGCTCATGTTTTTATTGTCGTCAGCTTTAAACACAATCATTACAGACAGTCGAACTAGGACACAATATCATATGTATTCTGCCGTGACTTAGTCAGATATTGCGAGATCTGTCAATATCAGGGATAGTCTGATTGTCTGCACTGTTGTGTGACCATCAAATCACTGCCCTGTGGTGACTATATATTCAAGTTTCATGCATTGAAAGCCTTTATCAGGAAGCATCATTTGGACAAAGCCGTTTCATAGATTTTTGTTTTGCCGTGTTGTCATTTGAAGCTTCAATAGTAATTTAATATAATGAAAGTTCAGTTTATGTAAGGCATAATGTACAGTCAGTCGGTTATTATTACAAAATGCACCCAGACAGGGCGATCAGAGCCATGCAATACTCATATGTCAATATTCGCTGAGATGTTACATTATTGTGGCAGATGAGTTAAGGCATTGAATAGAAAAAAAAAGTGTTAAAAGTCAATATACTGTTGCTACCCTAAGACTCCCCAAGTAAAAAAGTGATGTCTTTGTGTCTGGTTTGGAAAGGTGTGTTGCATGTGATATGTTATCTGTAGCTCAGGGGGATTACATTTAATTATATTTTATATAATCATTTGTACAAAATTAAAACATTAAATAGTTTACATAATTATAACATTTTGACGTTAATCTATTGGTTAGGACTGTAGCTCAATGTTTCCCATAAGATGAGCCGCTGTTTGTTTTCATCACGTAAAGGAGGCACACATGCACTCGTCACCATGCAGGATAGCGCCTCACTGGACTTATTATGGGATTGCATTACTTTACAGTCTGCCCTGAGTCCTATATTGCCTCAGCGTTCTCGCTTGAAACCTGTGCTCATGGGACTCCGGTCTTACTATTAATACACACCGGAGAGTTTTACTATAACATTCATTTACTTTCTCTCTCTGTCTCTGTCTCGTTTTATCTATTCCACATAGACTAGTATCTCTCGGTTTTCTCTCTCTTGCTACTATGAATTTATTTTACTATATTATGTACTCGGCTTCATTTGTTATCACTGTAACACATTTTTAGTAATTTATTGGAAAGATAATGTAAATGTGCTTAATTTTAAAACCTGTTTGTTGGTAAACGGTAAATCTATTTTATACTTAATGAGAGAATACATAAGTGAATACAGATGTGAACTTGTTAATTGGTAGGCACCAAATTAAATGTGTTGCATAAGACTTTTCTTGGTTATGTTTCTTACTTTAGCTATCAGAAATGTACATTGGGATACATGTACAGTACGATTTTTTTATGTTTTTGAAAAAAGTATCTCATGCTTACCAAAGTAGTATTTATTTATTTTAAAAATACTGTAAAAAGGGCCATATTGTGTAAAAAAAAAAGAAAAAAAAAGAACTGTCTTCTATTTTAATGTTTTATTCCTGTGATGGCAAAGCTGAATTTTCAGCATCATTACTTTAGTCTTCAGTGTCACATGATCCTTCAGAAATCATTCTAATATACTGATTTGGTGCTCAAGAAGCATTTATTATTATCAATATTGTACTGCTTCATATTGTTGTGGAAACCGTGGAAACTTTGATGAATAGCAAGAAACAGTATTTATTCGAAATATAAATATTTTGTAACACTGTAAAAGTCTTTACTGTCACTTTTGATCAATTTAAAGACCTTTGCTGAATAAAAAGTATTAATGTCTTAAAAAATAATCTTATCTTAAACTTCCGAATGGTAGTATGTTTCATTTTACATTTAGTTGATGGATTTTTAAACGATGCTATCCAAATGTTTATTAGGAAAGGCCAGCTTTAATTCATAATGCTGCCTTTTATTGTATCACCTGCATATTTTATAGGAGTATCAGTGCAGATAGTTTAGTATATTAATTGTATACCAATGCCTGACAATATTTTTACTGTAGATTACAACAGTTACCAATTTTTAGTGTGTACTCTCTCTTCTCTCTCTGTATCATGTGTTTTTCTTTGTTGCATTTGTGCTCTTGTTCATTTGTGCTCTCTCGTTCATGCTCCCTCTATCCTCTTTTCTTGCACTCCGTTTGTTCTTGGATCTCTCTCTCGTTCTCTTTCTCTCTCCTCTAAATGGGAGAGAGGAGAGCTCATGGCCTATATAGAAATCCCAGTGGGAGTGTATGAATCGCAGATCCTCTCTGAGTAGCTGTTTTGTCATGTTTTATATCATTCAACTAATAAAAGGCAACTCCGTTTACTAACGACTCGGTGTCCCAATAGAGCATTGTTCTAAATGTACTGCAAACACAGTTGTTTGCTTCAGAACATGTTCTCTCTTTTTCTTTCTCCCGATTTCCCCTTCTTTGCGCAATTTGCAGTCACGCTCTCTTTCTCTGTCTCGCTCTCTGATTTTCTCCCTCTTTAAAGTGCAGTACTGAGATAAAGTGTAATTGAAGAGTACTGAGCTACCATCCTGCCAGATGAGGAGATTTGGCTCTGGAGAAAGAGATCTTTAGAAACATGCTCGCTTTTGCAGTGGAATTATCTTGTCCTTTTGTATGTACAACTGTTATGTGAGTTTTGTGCCGTTCTTGATTGGCCGGTCTTTCAGTCCTCCAGGGCATGGTCAAGATCCGCTTTCTGAAATGGGCTATGATGTCGTTTGCCCTACAGACTACATTCATACGACTTGTCTGATTATTTGCAAAGCAACAAACCGATGTGAAACCTTTCGGAAAGACGTTAAACAATATTCAGTCATTCCCAGAGGAAAATTGTTTTGCTCTTTCATGGCTGAGGAGATGTAATGGCGTTCTCAGTTATGTTTCCTTTAACCTTTTACTTTGTTTCAGATGTTTCTCCTCTCAAGTGCATTTTTAATATATGTTCACTATATTCAAATGTCTTGGGGTGATTTTTTGGGGGGGAAGAAATGTATACTTTTATTCAGCAAGGATGCATTAAATTGATCAAAAGTGACATAAAGACATTTATAATGTTAGAAAGGATTTATATTTCAAATAATTGCTGTTCTTTAAACTGTTTTCAACATTGATAACAGAAATGTTTCTTGACCACCAAATCAGCATGATTTCAGAAGGATCGTGTGACACTCAAGACTTGCGTAATGATGCTGAAAATTCAGCTTTACCATCACATGAATACTGTATATTCAAATAGAAAATGGGTGTTTAAAATTGTAATGATGTTTTACTGTCTTGGTGAGCATAAGATACTTCTTTCAAAACCATTAAAAAAAATCTTACCAATCCTAAATGGTAGTGTATATATTGGTATGACATGAATAAAAGCCCACACACGGTTGAGGTAAATTTACTCTGAGCTGTAAATGGCATCATTTGTGCTGTTATTAATTGGCACTTTGCACTTATGCCTCTAAAAAAACCTCTATTTCTATGTTATCTTTTCTATGGATATCATTTGCAGGTTTTTTCTTTCCATATGTTTGGAGTCTATGAGATTGCACCACATTTTATGAGAAACTATTGAGAGATTGTGAGAGAAAGAGTGTGATTTTGTTGATCTGTTCGGTCTCACCGATTCGGCATTGAATTGCTTGAACCAACACCTCTGTCCTCAGAATTCAAGGGAATTTACTTAAGGACACAGAGAGAGAGAGAGAAAGCAAGAGATCATAGGAGAAAGAGGGAGAGTTTAGATGCAACCCGATCAATATGTCAGTCAGAAGCAGCTTTGATTGATTGTGTGTGTGTGTGTGTGTGTGTGTGTGTGTGTGTGTGTGTGTGTGTGTGTGCGCGCTAAAATGTGAGGGAATGCATTCAAGAACACAAAAACCAGGCATAATTTCTCAGAACCTCAATTCATAACTCAAAAACCGCATAATCCACCTAACACAAAACCGACTATGCAGAGAAATCTTACAAGCCCCTTAGACGGAAAAGTCTCGACAAACGCTTTCCACACCTGTCCCTGTTTCCATTCAAACCAGGTGTGGGATAAACTCCGAGCTTCTTCATCCAAGTGACCCTGAGCCTCCCTCCTGTCTCAGCGGCGGTTTTAAAGAGAGCTCCGAGAGCTTTATTGCTAAGTGGACCTAGCCACACTAAAGTGGCTGGTGACTGTGTTTAACAGGACCATTAAGAACAGACAGGCCGATCAATACTTTGAGGGAACAGGAGAGAAAGGAGATGTGTAGTTAGTGCATGATTGTCTTGAGGTGTCGGCAAATCTTAAACACACCGATCCCTCTTTCATCCTATTATTCTTTAATATACCTGACTCTGCTGCAATTAAACCGAACCCTTGCAGGGCATAATGCGCACCGACCGTAAAAAATGAACATGCCAACGTTTCTTTACGATTGATTTGCAATCAGACATATCTTATATCACCGTATAAATGCAGACAATTCCTCCCTGATTAGGGATAGTGTGCTTTAGTGATTAAACAATCTGAGTTGAGTTGGATTCATAGCCTAGCTGTTTGCGTCCGTGTTTTCATGTGTCTGCATTTATCTCTATTTCTCCAATCAAACCGTTGATCAATTAATGTGTATACATACCGTAGCTAAAATCAATAATGGTGACGCATCAATAACATCGACGCTTGTGTCATGACATTTTTTACTGCCTTTTCTTTAGTGGAAGTGTAAAAAACTCTCTGCATATTGTTTTTAGATGCTAGACTTCACCAGCACTACCGTGAGCGTTTGAGTGTGTGCGAAGGAAACCGGGAAAGTGTGTGCCTGCCTGTTTGACTGTTTACGTGGAGCGGTAGAGCTGATATTTTTATTTCTATATCTCTCGCTTCCTCAGAGGGTGGTGTATGAAGCTGTGTTTGCCTGCGGCAGATCCCCCTGGCAGTCTCTGAGAGCTGCCATCTTCTTCTGCCAGCCCTCCATTAGGCCTGTAAGGTGTGTCAGTCAGCGCTCGTACACAGGGGCTTATGGGAGGACTGCGGGGAAGTGAGGAGTGAACGGTAACTTGTTTCGCACACACACACACGACTCACCCACACATGCCAGCGTGTGTCAAATTAGGACAAGCAGGGGACAATTAAACTCTCTGTCTCTTCCACACACTCTCACAAACACATATACACAAAGTTGGCTGTGGATGCAGTTGTCTCAGACTTCTTCCTCTTGTCTTCTCGTCTATTTCTCCAGGTGATTATATGTACTGACTACTGCAACTCTTCTGTAACACAGTGTCCTAACCAGGCGCGATCAGCCGCGGTTCTAGACTGTTTACAGTGGGTGGCCACAGCGAAGTTTGCCTGATGTGTCATGATGTGTTGACTAAAACTAGGTCTATAAAATATACTTCAGTGAAAGCATATGACAACAATAAGGATGTTGTATAGATGCTCGTAGGCAAAATATGCATTCTGCAGATGTTTATATTTATATTTATAACTACTTATATTGTTTTTAAGGCTTATACATGCTCTGGTAACAGTGCTATATTAGTATTTTATTATTTATGTGCTATAATAGTAGTTATTAATATTTTAAATTATCTTTAAATAAATTATTATTTTAGTTTAAATTTTATTAATTTTGTTACATGCTTTTGTCATTTTTATATATTTTCTTTAGCTTTATTTCTTTCCAGTTTTCAGTAATTTAGTTACTTCAACTAAAACTTTATTTCAGCTTAAGTTTTTTAAGTTTTCACATATTTATATTTTATTTCCCTATATTTCAATTTGCGAAAACAGTTTTTGTTTTATTATTAAATTTTGTTTTATTAAAAAATTACAATACTGTCTATGGCTTTGGTGTTGCTAGCGCCATGCTCTACTGTTGGAATTTCAGTAGTGTTAAATAATAAGAGTAATAAACTCTGCAGTTATAGAGCCAGCATTTGAAGTGAACTACACAACTTCACCTGAGTTTGAGAACAATAACACTATTCAGCCAAATTCTGCCAAAGTCTGCTTACTCTACTTAAAAACACTTGCCGCCTTACAGACGGAAAAAGAGACAGAACGCTACCTCAGAAAAGTGGCTTACACCTGTGAGTTTGCTGAAAAGAAAAATCTCTGTGTCATCTCTCAGCAGGATACGTGCAGTTCAGCTGATCATATTAGCTTGACGAAAACATGCAACGGTTTGTTGAAGTTCGTTTTAAAGGTCTTGGATTGTACCAAGTGGCCTACACTACTTTGCATTATTAAAATGACTTTCTTTCTTTAATAGAACACAAAAGAAGATGTTTAGCGGAAAGTTTGTGCTGCTCTTTTGTATACAATGCCAGCGAATGGTGACTACAGTCTTTCAAGCTCCAAAAAGATAAAAACAAATATCATAAAAGAAGTCCATATGACTTGGTAATCGATAGCATTGTGTGGGAAACAATTTTTTTTTTTAAATTGCTGCATCTCATTTAAATAATATTTTTACATCCACATAAATGTATATATATATATATACATACTAATGTCAGTAAGATTGTTTTATTGGAAGAAATTAATACTTTTATTCAGCAAGGTTGCATTAAATTGATTAAAAGTGACAGTAAGGACAATTAAAATGTTACGAAAGAATAAAAAAACATTTTTTTTTGTACTTTCAATCAATCAAATAATCCTCAAAAATGTTGTATCACGGTTTCCACAAAGGTATTATGCAGTATAACGGTTTTCAACATTGATAATAATAAGAAATGTTTCTTGAGCACCATTCTTCATCATATTAGAATAATTTATTACAGCATATTAGAATAATTTTTGAAGGATCATGTGACACTAAAAACTGGTGTAATGACTGCTGAAAATTCAGCTTTGCCATCACAGGAATACATTACATTTATTACTCTTATTTCTGATAAATAAATGCTGCCTTTGTGAGCATAAGAGACATTCTGGCTTGCTAGTTGGGGACACTTAATATTCAACAATATTATTGATCTGCCTGCTTTGACACAATTATATGAGAACTGAACTGAGCTGGACAATGACATCACTGTTTTCTCCAGAGCTGCTATATGAACTAAATTAATATCTAATGATTTTTTACAATGGAAATGAATCAACACTGAACTTACTTAAACTGGACAATTTTCTTATAGAGCTGCTGTACAACCAAAACAATCTTTGTGGCATTAATTTCCTGTTATCACTGTAAAGCTACTTTGAAACAATATGTATTGTAACAAGCGCAATAAGTAAAGAAAAGTAAAGTAAAGCTTTCAAAAACATAACTGACCCCAAGATTTTGAACAATAGTGTAGATGTATAAATATATCTCAAAAAGTTATATATATATATTGTGAGCGAGTGTAAAAAAAGTTACATTTAAATATTCAGAAGTGCAAATGAGTTTAGAGAGACGTTTACACCTTTTATTCCAGTCTGTTCCTCGCACTTCATACATGTTTGGAATGGCATGAAGTTGTGTAAATAATGGCAGTATTTTCTTTTCTTTTTTTTGTGTAAGCTATTCTTTTAAAACTGTGGACACAAGCAGTAAAACTTAAACTATTTTGATTATTTTTTTCCCCCTGAAGTATGTGTGGGTGGTCTAAGTGTGTACAGTACTTGTTTGCCATTACTATTTGAGAGCCAGTACATCAGGAGTCAAGCATAACAATGCATATGCGTTTCAAATCAAAAACTTTTGTATCCTCTTCACACATTTATAGCATTTCCACAGTCTCAGCACTCAAACTCATGACAGAGCTCACTCTGTCTCCATCTGTGTCTCTCTCAAGTCTCTTTTTCTCTCTTTCCCTTGCGGAGGAGGCCTGCCACATCTCTCTTCTCTCTTGTTCTTCACTGTTGTTCATGGATGTGGGGGCAGTACAGTATCAGATAACTTTATCCTGGGCCATTGCCAGTATTTTGTGCACGCAAACGCGCACACATACACACCAGCTGTGTGGGTGACTCGGCTCCCAGGCAACGGCAGGAGGTCAGGTAGTCCTTTGCATTGCATGCTGGGAGTGTAGGAGTGAGGGGGTGTGTGACAAGTTATTTCAGCTTTTGTTTAAAACCATGTGCAACAGTTTTGCGAAATGTCCAAAATGAGTCGCGCAGGAGTAGCTGAGGACTGTCGTCAAGTTGAGGCTCCTAACTGAAAGTTCTTTTTCTGTCGTCTTTTCACCAGGATGAAGAAAATACGTGATGAAAGAGTGATTCTTGTCCAAGTGCAGTCAGTTTGAACCGGCTACTCTTCCTTCAAGTCCTTCATGAAGTCTTTGCAATAATCCATCACAAAAGGACTATCACGGTGATATATGACTTCCATTTCGTTCACATGAGGTTCATATGGCGTCGTCAGCTTTGCTTTTAATTATCGAAACCTCGCCTGATCCCGCTGTTCACATCTCCCTAAATATTGATTTGTCTGTGGAGCACAGCTAAATCAGTCAGCGCATTCAAAGCATTGATTGTGGGTGGTAAAAAATGGGACAGAAAAAGGGAAAAAAATTGAATTGTTTCCATTACCATGACAACAATTTTTTCCCAAAATTTCTTTGGCTCTCAGGTCAGGTTTGGATGGGGGTTGGGACATCTTGTGGGGAACAGGTTGATTTTGCTCAGCCTTGCCCAAAGCAGTGTCACATCTTAAAATGCAAGGACGCTGTACTTTTATTTGAAAATAATTACATTTATAAAACGCCTTTCATCTTGCATATGCGGCCTTAGCGAAAACATCAGATCAGAAAAAAATGATGCTTGTACACTGTAAAAAAAAAAAAGTTGCCGTCTTAAATTTTTAAGTACAATCAACTTGGATGTTTAAATCCTTTTAACTTAAATTACATTAAACTGACTTAAAAAAAATATGTTGAATGTTTTATAGTTTATAAAAAGTTGAAAATTGCTTAAACATATGTTGTCATAACTTATGGATCATACTTTTTTTTTTTACAGTGTTGCTTTTATGACCTTATATTAACTATTACATTCCATGTAATTACATGGAATGTTTGTCTCACCACATGAAAATTAAAGTGCACATTTAGGGGCACAAATTTGAATTAAAAATGTGAATAACAGTCAACATGGAATTAAAAAATAGTGAAATTTATATAAAAAACTAAAAACGTTTGTCCTTATAATCTTTCATCAAAATGTCCTTTTAGATGATTTTACTTAGGCCATGCAGGCCTATTAGGTAACTAATAAGTAATGTAATGTAACTGCCCCCCTCCCCCCCTACTTTTTCAGGTTATGCACTTAAAATAGAAAAATTTCAGAACCTATAAGATGCTCTCGATAGTGAACTTGACCTCCAGCCTTTATGTCCCCAATCAAAAACCTTTTTTAAAAATGGGTATGAATGGACACAATCCACTGCAAGCTTGGATTCAGGTCTTTTATGTGTTGCACATCCTAAATATGTCACATAACGGAATGTAAAATGGGTTGCAAATGTCTTTTCGTGTTGACCAGTAACATCTAAAACAGTGGTCCTCAACCAGGGGGCCTCAGCAAACTACATATATATATATATATATAAATAATGTTGTTAGAGCTTTTCTTGACTGAAATAGCAGCTAGAAGCTTAAAGAAAACACTTCTAGCTCACAGTAATGGCAACAGTAGCACAGCTCAGTACAGCTGATTTTAAGTCCATAATGTGGTGACTCGAGGCCGTTGCTTCCTCAGCACTGCTAGCGTCTGTCTGAGGGTTACCATGGCAACCGGGGCCCAGGAATGCCTCTAACTGCTCCTGACTGCCACCTGATGGCTGGGCCAAACACCTTCGTTTACTAGATTAATCATTGTGTGTTTAACAAAGGGAGCACATTGTTGCAGCAGCGGCTGTAGTTCAACAACAAGACAGTTCTACAAAGTGGCCTTTGTTAGAGGAGCTGCAGTCGGTTCAAGCATCCAAAAAAATAACAGATGGATTCAACTCTTTGAGCCTTGGGCAACAAACACGTCCCATTAAGTTCTGTCCCTCTATCACAAACACACACGCACACACACACAAAAACCCTGCAGCTGTCCTACTCTTCCAAACTCCATGTGTTGTTCTGGATTCATATACTCTTTCTCTCTTTAGGCCTTCTGGATATGTCTCAGTCTTCACTGAGGGACTGGAAGTAGCATGAAAGGAGAAGCTGTCGTGCAGTTCTTGATGGCTGTACACTAATTGCTGACCCTAACAGGTCCAATTAGAAGCTACACGCGCCCCGCGCGGGCCCAGGGGACTACACATCCCGGCATGCCGAGCACTGACATTCTCGGAGTGACATGAACAAGACAGCAACCAGACGTTCCCTCTTTCTTCTTTTTCTTACCATGCTTTTCTCCATCGTAAGTCTCAGGCTAATTTGTTAGGGCTGAGAGGCACATCCAAGTGACTTTTTATGGGCCACAGATACAGATGCATTTGCAGTTGGAGTTTTTGGCACTTAAATATAGACAGAGATTATGAAATTAGATAGTATTAATAGTTTTCAAAAGCACATGAACTTAAAAGTAAAAATATGATATAGGGGTATGTCTAAGGCCTGGGACACACTACGATCTCTGGAACTATATAGTTTGTCTTTGTACCTTTAAAAATAATAATAAAATGTAATTAATATAGTATAGTATAATATAATATATAACATAATAAATATAATAAGATTATATTACCGAGAACAAGCGGTTTGAAGTATATATGTCTGGATTATCTGGTACTATTTATGATTTTCCGTCTATTGTCCAAACAAAATTGTCGGAGCCTCCCCGATCCCAAATTGTAAATATCAAACATATTTGACTCCGATTGGAAGCAGTAAAATAATCAGGACACAATATAGTATCATATAATCCAGCCATATATTCTTCAAACCGCTTGTTCTCTGTAATTATGTTATGTTATGTTATGTTATGTTATGTTTTATGTTATGTTATGTTATGTTATGTTATGTTTTATGTTATGTTATGTTATGTTATTATTTGTAAAGGTACAAAGACAAACTCCATAGTGATTAATTCACTAACTATATCACTATTTCTGGCATATTTCAATATTATACTTCTAAACTGTTCTATTTTCACAATCCGAAGTGACATATAAAACAGTGTATGGGCTTTTGACTATTCATACTCTTTAATTTCATAAACTATTATGTATTTACTATATTATGACTATATTGCAATATATATATATATATAGACATTTATTTGCAAGAAGAATAATATAATATTTTTAGTATACGTTAAAATATTTAGAATAGATTATCATTTATTTATTACTACTATTATACAAATTTAACACTTACGGTTTTTTTTCACCTTAGCAGCCCCGTACTTTGTAAGCAGAACTTTGTTTTCCGGAAGACTTTTGCACGCTGACTCCAGCCCATCACATTAAAGCTTGTCAGTTTGAGAAAGTGCTTGCTTTTTTGTGTGAAATATGCATCAGGCGGTCAGTGAATAGACTGGGGGGTGGGCCCCGGGCATGACGCTGATACTAGTTTGATGGAGTCGTGCTGATGGACCTTTCCTGGTCTCGTCTATCTGTACTGATCTAGCGGTCTCCAGCAGCCCCATATGGATCCTATTATGTCTCGGCTCTGTCAGAGAGGAATTACAGGGCATCTCATCAGGCATGAGAACATGATGACCGTATCAAAACGTTGTCATGTCCTCTCTGCAGAGCTCTGATGTGGTACGCACACATGCTGTGACGTTGCCCCAGATTGCGGCATGGTCGCTGTCCACACGATTCGCAAGCAAATCAATAGCATTATGTCTTGTAGCCCTCACAATCTTTACATCACAAACAAGTCCCCAGGGTCTGAAAATAAACAGCTGCAGTTGGGATTAAAGCAGCCTAAAATTGTTTAAAGGAAATGCTTTTAGCATTTGAAGTGTTGCGTGTATTTCTTTGTGGAAGATAGATACAGAAACCATTTGTGTTCTGTACTAAAATCTAAAACGTTACTCTTTTATATCCGATCTTTTAAATTTGTACATCCATCTCGCTTTTCACTCTTCACTTGAGCTCTAAGGCTCTTGAAAAATTCATTCAAAGAACATTGTTTGTTGATTGATTCTCAATATGGAATATTAATCCCAAATCGTATAGATATTTTATTAGATGTGAGTGTTTAATAGTTTAATCTTGAAATAACGTAAGTGATTGAGCCGTTGGAGCTCATGCAGTATTACATTATGTATAGATGATAAATCACGCCGGCTATGTATTTTCCTCGGGAGTTAGAAGGAAAGACAGCGATGTTAGCGCACAAAAGAGGAAGAGTTGAGAGATCAGCCCCATTTTCTGCCATTTGCAAACACCTTGTTTAGTTTCCCGTGTTTACCGAACGCCTGCACGTTGATTCTCCTGACATTGACGCATCGCCCTGGAAAAAAGAAAAGAAGCGGAATAGATAAATAACACAACAGCGACACTGCTCCGTAATCCCTTTTGTTTCGCTGGATTTGTTCTTCTCATACGCTAAAGCAAACAATCCCCCGTAAAAAAAAACTTGGCTTGGAACTTTCCCCCCTCGACAAGCCCCCTCCCTTTACGCCCGTGTGTGAGAGAAAAAGATATTTAGTGACTTTGATATGTAAAGCTACAAAATCTTACCTGGGGCTACACAATCATCTCTCTTCCACAATCCAGTCAAATCAGGAGAGAGAGCGAGAACAAAAGAGATAGGATAGGACACCGAAGAGCAATGCAAATCTCGCTTTCTGATGAGAACAACAAAGAAGGGGGGAAAAAGGAGTGAAAGGATGGATGAGGAGATTAAAGGGAAGACAAAACCCCACATTTGGCCGGCGCTGGATTCGAAACGCTGCTCTCTCTCGCAGCAACCCAGTCCGTCATTCCCGAGATGTAGATTTCCATTAGGAACACGTTATTAAATGCAAAGGGTTAAAGGCGAGAGCTGTGAGGTGAAAGTGGACAATAGACTAAATGCTACATGCGCTCAGGGCAACACATCAGACTAATTTAACAGAGCATGCCTCCGTGATGTAGAGGTCAGATCTGGAGAGTTGCAAGTCCTGAAGCCCACAATGCTTTTTTAATGAAACCGGCAATGGAAAGAATGCCCAGCCATTTAAAACGCCTGACCCCGGACTTTAACACAGCACTTGTAAATTAGCCACACAGACAGCCTTAGCTGAAAGGTCACGAACGTGTTTTTCTGCTCCTCTTTCTTTGACATAATCTAAAACGGAGGGTCTGAAATTAGCTTTAACCTCCCGAATGACACGTTTATTTACATAACCGCTATGGACAGAGGGAGCGGCTCCACGCTAGATCAAAATCAACACATTGTTTTTGCCACGTCGCGAGCAGTCGCCCAGTGACCATCTCCGAGGGGCCCGGGGATATTTGTTGTCAGGACGAGAGCTCGGCAAAGGGCTTCAAATAATCTAATCTGGTGCATCTAAGTGTGTTCTGTCCTAACGCGCCTCTGACCCCATTCTGTTCTCGCGGATCCTGGCGGTGGGGGCCGAGGGGGGCTCATGTGCTGCGCGCTAATCCGCCGAGTCAATAGCGGCAGCGAGCGCTCGCGAATAAACCGGTGCCGCGGTGGTGGCACTATCGCGACTTGGCTTGACTCTAATGCCAGTGTCTCCTCAGGGGAAGGACTTTATTTCAGCGTCGTTAAGGGAGGGTTTCGGAAAAACATTAGCGTCAAAGCGCGTGAGCTTTTATGGAACAGTACAGAGAAAGAGTGCGAGGAGAAAACCTGTCACAGCAGTTCTAGTCTCTGCGATCGCATGAGGGCGACCTGCAGTTTTAACTCTGTCAAGGCAGGAGTCTAGAGGTTTGCTGCTTCGCTCTGCCTTTTGATAGAGCATTTGAAATGCAAGAATAAACGTGTCAGCTTGGCACACAATCTGTGTCCACTGGGCCTTTGTGAGATGACCTTTGGCTGGTGAATGTCGGACTGAGTTTTTAAGTGTTATACGCATTCATTTGAGTGATTATTCATATTAGTGCATGTGCACAAGTCTTTGACTGTTATTTTTTTTCTTTCTGCTTCCTTGAGGATGCCAAAGACCTTTATGCTGGGCGTCATGCACCTTTTTTTTGAGGGAGCACCAGTGACAGTCTTGGTTCACTGAATTGTAATAGAAATTCTTGTGGTACCCTATTTTTTTTAACGTTAATTAATTCATTTATTTATTTATTTATTGAAAATTGAAAAGTTAATGTTTTAAAATTAAGTTTACCGGTGAACAAGGGTTAAAACAAAGATTTCCACCATGAAGTCATGTGAACATTATTTAATAATGTTTAATAATTAAAACAATATTATATTATAATATATTATATTATACATCTCTTCTCCAAACCGCATTATCTATGTAAGGTGACAGGACTATTATATTATTATTTTTATTTCATGTACACTATATAGAATTTCAATATTATTTATATATATATACACTCACCGGCCACTTTATTAGGTACACCTGTCCAACTGCTCGTTAACACTTAATTTCTAAGCAGCCAATCACATGGCGGCAACTCAGTGCATTTAGGCATGTAGACATGGTCAAGACAATCTCCTGCAGTTCAAACCGAGCATCAGTATGGGGAAGAAAGTTGATTTGAGTGACTTTGAACGTGGCATGATTGTTGGTGCCAGAAGGGCTGGTCTGAGTATTTCAGAAACTGCTAATCTACTGGGATTTTCACGCACAACCATCTCTAGGGTTTACAGAGAATGGTCCGAAAAAGAAAAAACATCCAGTGAGCGGCAGTTCTGTGGGCGGAAATGCCTTGTTGATGCCAGAGGTCAGAGGAGAATGGCCAGACTGGTTCGAGCTGATAGAAGGGCAACAGTGACTGAAATAACCACTCGTTACAACCGAGGTATGCAGCAAAGCATTTGTGAAGCCACAACACGCACAACCTTGAGGCGGATGGGCTACAACAGCAGAAGACTCCACCGGGTACCACTCATCTCCACTACAAATAGGAAAAAGAGGCTACAATTTGCAAGAGCTCACCAAAATTGAACAGTTGAAGACTGGAAAAATGTTGCTTGGTCTGATGAGTCTCGATTTATGTTGAGACATTCAGATGTTAGAGTCAGAATTTGGCGTAAACAGAATGAGAACATGGAACCATCATGCCTTGTTACCACTGTGCAGGCTGGTGGTGGTGGTGTAATGGTGTGGGGGATGTTTTCCTGGCACACTTTAGGCCCCTTAGTGCCAATTGAGCATCGTTTAAATGCCACGGCCTACCTGAGCATTGTTTCTGACCATGTCCATCCCTTTATGGCCACCATGTACCCATCCTCTGATGGCTACTTCCACCATGTCACAAAGCTCTAATCATTTCAAATTGGTTTCTTGAACATGACAATGAGTTCACTGTACTAAAATGGCCTCCACAGACACCAGATCTCAACCCAATAGAGCATCTTTGGGATGTGGTGGAACGGGAGATTCGCATCATGGATGTGCAGCCGACAAATCTGCGGCAACTGTGTGATGCCATCATGTCAATATGGACCAAACTCCCTGAGGAATGCTTCCAGCACCTTGTTGAATCTATGCCACGAAGAATTGAAGCAGTTCTGAAGGCAAAAGGGGGTCCAACCCGTTACTAGCATGGGGTACCTAATAAAGTGGCCGGTGAGTGTATATATATTAGTACTTATATCATTTATTAGACATAAGTCATAAGTCAAGATCCACTTTGCTCACTAATTCAAGGGGGCACATGGCACAGTTAGGTGGGTAGAATGTGTGTGTGCCACCATGTG